ATATCTGTTTCTAACACTTATAATCATATCTTTGTGTATATACATCTAACCTACTTCTAAGTCTTTTCAGGCGGCTTATAACACATTTATAACCCCAGTATAACCCTCTTCTAACTTGGCTAAGTGCGATTCCTCGTCTTCGTTAGCGTGTTGTAGGAGAATGTTTGCGCGAATGATTGTGTCGACGGTGCTGTGACTCACCTCGGAAAGTAGAAGGCTTACGTCCGCACTCAAATGCGGGGCTACTTGTTGCGCGTGCCAGCTCAATCCCCCGAGCAAGGCTCGGAGCTGGGTGCGTTCTCTCTCAGAGGTCCCGGCCTGTTTGTCCTTCCGGCGAGTAGCATTTACGCCAATCTCAGAAATGCCTTCCAAGTAGGACGGCTGTGACAGACTGAAGCCTTGGGGGGTCGTTTCAATCAACACACCACACTGAGTAAACTTATCAGTTTCCCAATCACCCCATCGAAAGTGCTCACGGATCTGCTTCAACTTGTCACACCACCCCTCATGAGAATCATCACCCCCAAAGATGAAATCATCCACATGGCCGGAAATCAAACCTTTCAGCTCGCCCTGATCTCTGTAGCACCACATGCAGGCGTCCGAACTACACCTTTCCATTCCTATGCTTTGCAGGAAGGCATCGACAGTCCGATACCACTCAAGTGGGGCATCCACTAGACCATAGCAAGCCCGCTTGATCTGAGTCACACTGTTTTCCGGAATATTCATGGCTTCACAAATTTCAGGCGTGGGGATGCAGTACAAAGTATCGGGGTATTCCCTGGCTTGCAAGAACGCTCCCGATACGTCTCCTTTTCTCACACGCCATCGCTTCCATGCAGCCATTTGTAGGAGCATTTGACGGGACTGACGAGTCATCACGGGAGCTGTAGTACTTCTATGTTCGTAGCTAGGGTCCTGGTACCCTAAAAGCACACATCGTGCCTTTGCCTTCCGGGTCCCGTCTTCTTTCAACTTCCACGTAAGCACCCACCTCATTCCCACTGCTTGCTCTCGGCTCGGCTGAAGGTGTTTCGGGAGTGCTTGGAACGCGTCAGCTGATAAAAAGTTTTTGACCTCAACTTGTTTCGCTCCTCGGAACTCTGCTTGCTCAGCAGGAGGCAATCGCCGCTCTGATACTTCTACTGCTTTCCGCTTCATCTGTCCAACAAAGTATCCCTCAAAATTCCGGGCCATTCGAAGAACTCCTCGTTGGCTCTCTGGCATGCCTACTTCCACCTCGACGGCAGCCATGTCGTCGTCCCAGTAGTTCGTCGGCGTTTCTGGCCATGCCTGTTCAGGCACAGTGCTCCACCAGCATTCTCCACTCAGACCGCTTTCGTGGGACTGTGGTTCCAGGCGCGGTCGTTGAGGAACCGGGCTTGGCTCCTCTGACGCAGGCTCCATCTCGGCATCGCCCTCAACATCCCGGGTCGCCGGACCCGGAGCGGGGCGTTTCTGTCGAAATCGTAGTCGAGATGGCTGTGGTGCTTCGGTTGCTTCCTGGGCTCTGTGCCACTCCTGTAGATCTGGCACATCTTGAGTGGCATCTTGAAATTGGTTACCACCGAGGCTTTCTGCCATCTGCGTAAACGTCCAAGGCGTCGGTTGGCCGGCCTGTGCGGAAATTCCCTCCAGAATCTCTTCTCTTTCGGTGGCTCTCCTGAGCTGCTCGGGAGCGCACTTGATCAGATTCCGTCCTCGTACGAGCCACACTGCTCCTCCGGGCGAGAGCTCGCCCGTGTCTGATTTTCTGGTCTCAGTGGCGAGTATCCTCGCCGGGCCCAGAAAACGCCCTTGCCGTGTGCCAGGCTGTCGTCGTCCTTTACCTGATTCTTGACTTCTCCAGAAGAAAACTAATTCCCCCGGCACATAATTATAGCATGGCCGATGCCTGGAATTCATCGCTCGTTGTATCCTTTGACGAGCGTTCCAGTCAGCGTGGATCTTCTCGGCTTCTGCTCTGCGCTGCGTGGCTCGGGCGAACTCGCCTTCTGGGTTCTCTACCAGGAGTCCGGGTGGCAAACCTTGACCGGCTTCCACAAACCGATGAGTATCATCGGCTCCTCTGCCGATCACGTGTTGCGCCGGCGAGAAGCCACGTACCATATCCCGATGATTGAACACGGTGACTGCTTCGGCCAAGGCCCCTTCTGAAGTCAATTCCGAATCATAGGAGCACAAGCGCGTCATCAGTTCTTTCACCCCTTGAATAGCTTGCTCGCACACGCCATTTTTCCAGTGAGCTTCTCCCGGAATCACATCTAAAAACACCCCATGCTTATCACAGTACTGGTCTATCAAGGCAAAGCTGCGGAAAGAGCCTGCGGGATCCACTCGCAGAGCACGGGGGTGGCCGAAGTATTGGTGCCATCCTTCCTGCAAGTAGGACAGGCACGCATTCGCAGAGGGCTGTTGCTTTGAACCCTTGGTAAGCACTCGAGCCACCCGAAACCGCGACCCTTCATCAATCACCAACATGAACTGAATGGGTTCTTTCTTGTGGGGATGCTCCCAATGTCCAACATCAGCGCTGATAGTGCAGAACTTTGGGGGCAGGGGTTCAAGGGTGGCTTGGGCTCTCGGGGGAGGCTTGCTTCGTTCCATACACACCGGACACTTAAACTCTCGGGCCAACTCTAACACTCTGTCAGGGGCTCGCCTACGCTTCAGGGCGTCAATCATGTGGGAAACGCTACAGTGACCTGAGGCACAATGCAAGAGGTACAACTGTTTCCGGATACGTTCGTCAGCCCTACGCGCACTCGAGTCCCTCGGGTTGGCTTCCACAGCAAGAGCTTGTTCGGGGTTGCTTTTGGGCTTCGAGAACACTTGTCTATCCTCTTCAGGAACCCTGAAGCCTAACTTGCGCAAACGGGTGGCCTCTTGTTTGGATAAATGTTGTAGGCCACGGGTCACATAAGCCGTCACAACCCATCGCGTTCCTTCCCAGTCGCATGTCTGGTGCCAGGCTTTTGGAGAGAACATACATGGTCTATGCCAAATCGTCTTCCTACACCCTTCAATCCGCTCCCCCTTTTCCGAAATCCTGACCTCAACCTGGCCTTCAACCTCCGTCTTGCCTTCAAGCCACAACTCACCTCCCTTATAACTTCCCAATCCTACACTACAGTTAGGATAGGCTTCGTTGTTGTTGATGTCCTTGTGCAAGGGCGTCGCCGCGTTGGCATTCACCACAAAGCCAGACCATCGAAAATCCGAAGGAAAATGACTGGCTATGAAGGCATTAATCATCTTTACAAACTGAGGCCGTTGCAGAGTACGGGCAGTCAGACCATAATGATTGCCGAAAGCATAGCTTCCGAAGCTGAAGTACGAACCCTGTTCCCTTTCCACCATGCTTCTTCTGGAGGCTTGTCCATTAACAGCATGTTTGGCAAGATACTCTTCGAGGTGTTTATAGCTGATAGTCGTCTTTTCACGGAGGTCTTGGGCCTCGGTTTCTCCGGGACTGCTTGGGGGAGGTGTAAGGTGAGTCTCAAAGGCTGCGGCGGTTTCGGCTTTTTCATCATCTCCCTTGTCCTCGAAGTACGGTACAGCATCCTTTCCCAAGAGACAATTTCCACACTGAAACCCCGACTTTTGTAAGAAGGCGTCCCCACAAGCACACACTTCACCCCTTCCGAAAGTCTCCATCAGTTCACCTTCACCTCTACATTCCTGCACCACTCCGAAGAAACTCAACTCCTCCTGAAGAGACTGAAAGACAAGCCTTGCAAACTCTGCAGTGTACAATGAGGAAACAGTAGCCACTGCACCTTCGCATTTGTCATGTTCATAGCTCGCATGACACCTACAGGGCTTTTGCATTGCCTGGGCCAGGCGGTCATGCGTGGTCACCAGTCGCCACCCCTTCTGGACCAATCTGTGGTTTCTACCCTTGAGACCCACGGAACATCCCTTGGTCACCACAACCTTCAAACCCATGCCATGCTGAATTTCTTGAAAAACCGGCAGCCTCCAAGCCTCACACCTCTCACTCATCTCAACTGTGCAATGTATGCCAAGGTGAACACAGACACGCATGATCTCACGTACTGAATGATAGATCTTGATGGCTTCTTGTCGCTTGACCTGGAGTTCGGCTTTCTGTTCAGGCGTACGTTGATTGGCATGTTGCATAGGGGAGTACGGGCCACATGGGGGGGACAACCACACATGTAAAGGATTCAAGCTCCTGATTTGTTCCAACACCAGCTGGAGTCCCAAAGGCTTCGTAAGGTCGGCTCCATTCCAAATGGAGCACTGCACGGCGCAGTCCTCACACCCTAGCTTTTCCTGAAAGGTCCTACTCAGTACACTATCAGGAGAACAGGCCACCTCCAGCAGCCGAGGTCTCTCTTTTCCTAGAAGTTCATTAAAGGCTTTGGGGATAATACTTTGGGACTTGTAAGCTAGGGCAGAGGCGGCCGTAGAAGACAGCTGTTGACAAACATCCAACTCACCGGCTGGTACTTCATCAACTGGTACGTCTTCGCCCGGAGAAAGATCACCGGGAGGCTCGACATCTACTCCTTGTTGGATGTCACCTTGCGTGGGCGTTCCGCGCGGATCTGCGACATCTCCTCCTGCATGTCCTTGATCGCGGCGGCCATCTGGATCAGGAGCTGATCGCGAGCATCCGGGTCGGCGTTCTGGGAAGTGGAGGAGCTGGCCATCGTGCTCGAGGTGGGAGTCGCCGCCGGGATCTTCGGTTGATTCTTGGCTCCCCTGGCCTTTGGGCGAGGGACGTGAATCAGTGGCGGCTCGGTCTTGGTATCCTCGAGGGTGTACAGCCAGCGAGCGAAGCGGGCCAACCGGGGACAGCAGTCCCCTTCCTTGTGAGTCGTCTTGACCCACTCGCAGTAGTCGCGGTCGTAGTGGTACGTCTCGGAGTAGGTCCGCTGGGAGTGTCTCCCAAATCCCATTGGCTCGCACCCCTGAGGCTCGGAGATCTCCAAGATCTTTGTCGTAGCTTTCTTTTGCATGACCGCGATCGTGTCGCAGTCGCCCACCATCAAGCCCAGGTCCGTCTCGCAGAAGGTGCGGAGGTCGCTCTTCTTGCGGGACGCTTTGTTGAGCTTGGACATCCACGTCTGCATGTCCGTCTTGGCACTGGTTGTCGCCGCGAGGCTCGGATTGGCCTCGGCGATCTCCGCAATGCGCTGCTGGACCTCGATCTTTGTCCACCCCTCCGGAGCTTCCTCTCCGAGAGCACGAAGGTGGAGAATCAGCTCGGGGCGCGAGAGGCGGTCCATGTTGCACAAGGGCTTCGGCTCGGGAAGAGGTTAGAGCTGGAGCACCTGAACCAGGATTGCTGCAATCACGACAACCACGTGCATGTTCCTGTGCTAGATCACCCTGTTCAATCTCCATCATGCCACACTGCACACTGGAAGCCGTCGGCTCACTCACATCGGGTGTTGCAAAAACCTCTTGCGATCTACTCTTCTCAACATTAACACTCACACCATCAGAAGTTCCCTGAGTTCCCATTCCTGAAAAACTACTCTTGACCTCCCTTTTCCCGTCAGGATCGGAAATCGGGAGGCGCTGTCCCTAATGCTCATGTGAAACAAAACGGCTCAAAGTCGGGACTGGCAGGGCTGTGTCCATTGCATCCTTGAACAGATCATCGGCCAACGAAAGTAGTTGGTGGCCGGTCGCCGATCTTCTAAGGGGGATGATCTTCTTGTCATTCAAGGCGGTAAGCACCATGAGGTCGTTCCGGAAGTCCACCAAGGCGCCAAGGGCGCGTAGGGCATCTACACTCAACAGAATTGGTCCCTGGCCACATTCAAGAGAGTGGATCTGCACGCTACCCTGAGCTCCATCGACGGTCACGCCCACCTTGCACGTGCTGATACACTGGTTTTCAGTCGAGTTGCCAAACCCGAAGGTTGGCTGGTTCTCGCGGTCAAGCTCTCGCAGCCGCGACTCTCCATGTTTCTTCATGTTGCAAGCCAGGAGGGCCTCAATCGCGGACACACTGCCAATCGTTTTGGTCGCTCCTCCGTCCACCACCGCAAAACCTGCGGCAATGGCCTCTGCTGTGCTGGGAAGCGTCGCTAGAGCGCTCTCGGCGTCACCCCCCGTCTCTGCAAAGGCCGCAAAGGACTCAGAAACTTCCACAAACTCATTGACCGTCACCTTGTCGTAGTTCGGCAGGTACTTGGCTTCCGCGAAGCACACAAAGGGAGCCTGGTGATTGGAGCTGCTTGTGGCCGGTGGCGTAGCTTCGGCTCGAGCCGCCAGAGGCTTCTCTGGGCAGTTCGCCACGCGGTGGCCTTTCCGGCCACATCTCAAACATTCTATGTGATCATCATTGCCACCTGGCCTGGCTCCTTGACCATAGTTCTTGGAGTTGTTGCTTCCCTTGTAGTACTGGCGGTTCAGCTTGTTGGAGTGTTGTCGCATGCGGGCATCTTTAAGGGTTCGGCGAGCCTGCTGGAAGGCGGCCCAGGCCTGATTGGTCTCAGACTCCATGGTGGTCACGAGGGCCACCTCCGCATCGTCATCTTCATCTGCTGGTGCATCACCGTCCCATTCGAACTCCTCACCGGCTGGAGCGCCCTCATCTTCATCATGCACTCCAAGATAGGCCTGGCCTCCTCGGCGGGAGTGGTCCCGGCGCTTCAAGTCCGCTTCAGAAAACTGGTTCCTCAGCTCCTGTGCCACGCGCGCCGGGGTGAAATCCCCCGCAAGTGCAGTTGTAACGAGATTCCTCTCGTTTGCATCCAAGGCTGCGTCCGTAAGGAGGTACCATCCCTGGATAAAGCTTGGAAGGAGACTCTCATCTTCAAGGGCCTCAATGGAAGTCCAGGCCGAGGATGACGTCGTGGAGGGGCTGGACCAGGACCATGTACTCGAGGCGGGGTTGTTGTAGTACGAGGATTGCCAATCATAGGAACCCCATCCCCATCCAGACCATCCGGACTGCCAACCCCAAGAGCTACCCCATCCGGAGCTAGCATCCGAGGCGCGTCGACCTCGGTTGTCATTGTCGTCGCCATCATCACCATCATTGTCCGGAGGTTCATCGGCCTCGGTCATCTGTCGGTCCCACGTCCCTGCTCCCCAGTAGCTGCTCAGGTCGCTATCTCGCCGTCCTCGTGGTTCCCATGTCGTGGCCGCCACCTTAGTCTTCTGGTAGTGAGGTTGTACACGGCGAAGCGCCTGGCTCACCCGAAGGAAGGCTTCGCTCTTCCGGGTGATGTAGTCATTCATAGATTCGCCTGTCCGCCGACGGGTCCCTTTGAAGTACTTGCCCAAAAGGTCTGTCACTTCATTCACCCGCGGCTTGCCCAACGACTTCCGCAAGTAGTCCAGGAGGAGCTTCACTCCGCCAACACTCGCCAAGCCTTCGGCTGATTTCCCTGCCACCAAACGACGGGCGGCACCGGTCAACTCTGCCATCAACCTCGGAGCAGCTGTATACCGTTTGTTGTATACTAACCCTTGCTCCCAAAGGAGGGCAGATT